GTAGTATGTTTGGGAGGAAGAAAAGATATTTTAGTCCTAATCACATTTGATTCTTAAACCATGTATCCTGTATCAGAGAAAGAGCATTAAAAAAATGCATCCCAGCAGCATATACTTGAAAAGACTCAGGAATAGACCCACTCAACAACTTCCAGAGTTACTAAATTATGGAGACAAGGTCATCACTTTATGCTGTATCACAAAACAAAAACACGGCCAGTTCCACAAACAATGCTGAAAGCTCCACCGTGTAGACACAGCCACATCAGAAATGCCACCCTTGCTGCATTTCTTTAATAGAGCTGTGTCTCCATTATGCTGATTTCTCAATCAAAAAGAAAGCTTTTCCCCTGTATTTGTTTTCTGCAAAGGAAACATAAAATTACTCCTCCAGTGAACACATCCATCGGGAGGGAGATCCTCTTTCCTCAACCCCAGCAGCACAGTCCCAGAAACGAACAGGTGAAGCTCGCTCCTATTTCAAGACAGCATGAGATGCAGTTGCGTAGTTAATTCTGCCTCCGTACATTAGCAAACATGCCGCTTGCAAAATATGAAAGGCTTTCTTCCCTGCCCCTTGTTTTTAAATGACACCTGCAAATCACTAATCCAGTTGCCATTTATTTCCATATGTCAAATTACAATCTTAACTTGTGCAAAGCAACATAATAGTAATGATTAAGCCAATTACATCACAACACAGCTTAAAACGACACACAATGGAAGGATTAAAGCTCACTACCAAATAAGAGAGTCCTGTTCTTGGTGGAGCTCCCCCACTGTGGGAACATAAGTGTCTCTTTTCCTGTTGTACAAAGTTGTGAGCCTTCTGACATGTAGCTGCTGGACTGCCATTAACAAACTTATTTATATTAATGCTGCACTAAGCTGGGATCACTGCACCTCGGCATTAGCTGCGGTAGGCGGGCTCTGCGGCCGTCTCTGCAAACAGAGCTTATGGCACTTTACACGTCCGCAGACAGGTTGAGACACGTGGACGAGGTGATCTCACTCTGCTTAGCTGAATGAAGCCTTCTCTACCCTATGTTATTTGGGTCAGGTAGATGCTGACAGTAAAAGCCTCAGGGAAAGGGAGGGAAAGAAGAGGAGAGTAAACCAAGCACAAATATTTAAAAAGTCAAGCATCTCATTCTCTAGATAGGGCCAGACGCCATTTGTAGCCTGTCTGGATGGAGTATGTGCTACCACATTCAACACCATAATTCCAACTGATGCCAATATGCAGCTCCTACAACAATAAAATGTGGGTTAAATCTTTATATAATAACCAACCTTTCAAACTAAGATTTTCAATTCTACCTCAGGGATTAAAATGTTCTAATGGAAATTGAGCATCTAAATCTCTTAGGAGGATTTTAAAAAGTCAGATACAGTTATTTTTATTTGTTCATTGCCTTGGTGTTTAAATCAGCATCATTCAAAATGGTTGAACCTTTTACCTTTTATTTCTGCTCTGTGCACCTTCTTCTTTTTTTTTTCTTTTTCACATCTTTGTATCCCTCCTAATTTTCGCTACCATCTGGGAACACTGGTCCTATCTGCTAAAATGTATCTTCCTATTCCAGCTAAAATAAAGTAAATTGGTACTGTTAGTATTGTACATGTCGTCATTAGGCTTTAATAAGATTAATGGGACCGAAGGAGTTTCTAACTTTGAAATACATTCCTGTGTGTTGACTGCAGACCCGGGCAGACACCTCTCCATCTATTCACTCTTATTCTATGACAGTTTCTTGGCAACTACGGTTTTGAAGAAACTTATTATATGTGTAAGTTTATCCTCAGCAGAATTTGAATGAACCAGGCGTAACTGTTAACTCTGTCCCAGATGCCCTATCAGCTGTTCCTGATTTGCTAGGTGGTCATTCCCCATACATCGCTCCATACTCCACCATGCATACATCACAACCCTTCCAAATACTGAAACAGAAGGATCCCTCAAAAGCTGGATGTTTTGGGTTTTTTTCTTTTCTTTAAGAAGCAAACACGCATACAAGCACACACACAAATGTATGTGTAAATTAAACTGAACACCACGTGTACCATCTTCGAAAAAGCTGTTACAGCACACTAACAGCTTCCCCCTTCTGTAAAATTAGTTGCAAAGAAAGCTGAATAGTTTTGCTTCCTACTATTCAACCGAAGGAAAGGTTTGGACAGCAAAATTCTGTCAAATCTGGGTGTCTTTATACTCATCAGACATCAACTTTTTTTTAAACTGAAAAACTGCTTACATTTTCATGGCCCATTAAGGACTACTGGTCTCACATATGCACAAAATGAAAAAAAAAAAAAAAGCTCATATTAAAAATGTTGGGTTTACTCCAATATATGCCTTATATTCTACCTTTGTTTTGGGAAGACTCTTCTCTTACTAAAAAGGTGAGGTGGAGGGAACATTTTGAAGGACTATTGCTAATGGTCTGCAGTTTGCACCTGTTCTGTGCATATGGAGTAAAGATAAGATTTGGCACTTCAAGGTGCCTCTTCCCTGGCTACTGTGACAGTGTGAAACAATAGCTTTTGTTTTAATTTTCTTTTCTAAAATAAGAATTATTTTGTCCAAATGAATATGCATATCTTGCATCAAAAGCATCCTGTAGCCGATTTTTACACGTGCTTATCATCAGCATCATCAAAGACCAACTATTCAAGGGGCAGACTGCATCAGCCACATCTCCACTTCACCGACAACAACTACAGTGAAGCTGAACAATGTTCTGCCGCGTCGCTCAGCACATTTGCCTGGGAAACAGCCCCATTTGCTGCCAGTATGCATATTTACTATGAGACTAAAATCACGGAGAATTTAATAACAACAGATAACATTGTAAGCTCTTTCAGCAGTCTAGAAATATTCTTTTTTTAAAACAGTATTCTAGTATCCACAGGCAACACAGCCTGTCAACAAGTCTAAAACTAAGTGGTAAGTGTCTAAGGGTAGGTGGAATGGATACAGTCAAAAGAAGAGCATCCTCTCCAGCAAATTATGCTTATGCATACACAGGGGTCCCAAAATGTTTCAAGCTGAGGCATATGCTAGACCCAAAACCGTAAAGATAGCCCCCTCAACAGTCTCCAATAGACCTGGAGGGAAATTCAGGCTGAAAACTGGTATCAAGGGAAGCATTACACTGTGCAAACTCTAACCTTACATCCTTCTCAACTATGTTATCTGGTATTTGCCATACAAACTTATTTTCTGATTTATAAAATGAAAATTATTTTTCATTAAAAAAATTGCGCTAATATGTATTCTCCATGGGCATACCAACCGATTTGTTAATATAAGAGAGACACTAACATTTATTTGACATTGAGACAGACAGTAGAGGAAGCATTTCTTAAGGGAGAGGAGGAAAGAAAGTGCTTGCACAGCATGCCTAAATAGACAGCTAAGATAAATTCTGGGATTAACAAATTTGAGATGATACATTTGCCTTTCTTCTTGATTGATAAAAAGTACATGACATTCCTAGACATACACAGTTTGCTATATAATGTAAAGCTACTATTTTAAGAGAGTAAAAAGACCCTGTTGGTTCTGAAGCTGAATCTTAGAGAAGAGTTGCTTGGCACTCTGGAGCATGATGTTAAGAGTTGGCGACAGTACTGATTCAGTTTTGTAAAGCTCCAGCTTAGCAATAGAAAATTCTTAAAACTTTTGGTAATAAAACGGAGTTTCAAAGGATGTCCATCAAGATGACTCCAAGACTGAAAAACACCTTGCAAGTCTAGCCATGAAAAAAATAAGAAGCCTCCTCCACAGTGTTTTAGTTGTGAGAGCGACTGGCTACAATAACCTTCAGTAGTATTTCTGTTTACCCACCTAGTCTGAAAGATTATGGAGATGAGTTCACAAGAGCTGACCCTCCAGGTTTATTAAATATTCAGTGAATAGTCGGTATGCATGCTGGGTATTAAATAAAAAACAGAAAATACTGCAGATTACCATACGTTAAATACTTCAAATAATACTGGAGTAGCTCTGTTTGTTTTTTAATTGTTTACTTAAATCACTTTATCACATATCAATATAAAAATGTACAATATGGACACAATGTAAATTCTGGCATCATGAATATTTAGGTGCTTTTAAAGCTTTTTTTTCTGTGGGTTAATTTTGTTTATGGTATTCTATGTAAACTTGGAGAACTTATTTCATCTTTTCTTGATTTTTTTTTTACCTTGATAGTAATAGCACTGCTATTTTCTCACCTGCAGTAGTATCACAGCATGTGGGCCTTCAGCAGCAGGAAACTCTTCACTGTCATGATTTAGCCTACTGTTCCTACAATCTCCGCCTTCCCTTCCCCATCCACTCTCTTCCTAGATAACTAGACACAGCCTACAAACAATCTATCCTGCTTAGAATCATCTGCTATTAGTGCTCAATCAAAACTGTCGTCGTCACCATAATGTTCACCAGCCAAAGAAACTCGAGCAATAACTAGGATACAGCCCATCCCTTTAGCAGAGCAGGTCTACAGTGGTCTCTCCAAAATGCATACTGAGTGCCATACATTGATCTACAATTGAACACAGGGTGATGCAGCTGTTCAACGTACTACTTTCTACTTGAGATGCACTGTGAAAAAGGACCATGAAGAAAGTGGCTTACTCAACAGACTGCAAAGCAGATAACAGCTACAATTTTTGAGCTGCAAATCTATGGAACAAGAACAAATCCAGCATCTGGGCAAGTCCAATCTTAAAAGTTACTACAAAGCTGATGTTCCATGTTTCCACATGGGCTTCCACAAGTAAAATTTGCCCACAGGTTTTATACCAAATAACAGGATTAAGACAGCCTGTGTGTCGTTCTCAGATGACCACACATAAAGGAAAGTTTCTGAATTGGTGGATGTAAGTCACAGGATCTTCAATTCCCAGGTTTAAAATTGTCGTCTTCTGTAACATCACATCCAACAATTTAAACTGATGGGACCTATATAACAAAACTGCATCAAACTACACACCTTGTGTCCAAATGTAGCATCCTCGGAGGCCAAGACTTCAACCTGAAATTATAAGGAGAAAGATCATTTCAAATTTAGCCACTACCAAGAACCTCTCTCTCCTGAGCACCGCACCACAGTCCAGGCAAAGAGGAGATCTGTAAATGAAGACGCCGGTCTGGGTCAACCCTAGGAAACCTACGTGTGAAAGGACATGCTGAACTAACAGCTGACAACAGAAATCCTCAAGAGGGGAAACTCAGAAGGCATCCCTCACAACACAAACAAGGTTTCTCAACCTAAACGACATCGAGAGGATCTGTCGGTGTCCCAAAATTTACTGTACTACAGCTGGAACGTTGTTCTCCATATGGAGTTTTGACTACACCAAAAAGCTGCCTGAGAACAACCAGAATCATCTGCCATGACAACTCCCTGTAAAAAAAAGGCCGGAAATATCTGAACCCTTCCCCTCCCATTATCTTCTATCCAGGCCGGGTACTCCTGCACCAGCACCAAGCGCTCTAACAGCACTAATGGGAAACTCTGCAGCAGAGGTCTCGCTTGCAGGCTCCTGTTCTGGCTTGCGCACCGGTAATTCTTTGAAAGCTGTAGAATTCAGGGAAGACAAACTCCCCAGGCAAAGGCCGAGACTAGCTGGCTGCAAGATACAGCGCATGTTTGAAAGCTGGAGGAAAGCAAGCTGCTAGGTCATCTAATGGTGCTTCAAATCAAACTCCTTGCTGGTTACCACATACCGCACAGCTCTAAGAGCCGATACACGCCCGTCTGGGATGATAGGGAATGGACGCAGAAAAGCAGGCGCACCAATTTTTCATTAGGCTCCTTAAAAATGCTTCACACTTCAGCACCTTTCACCTGAGAATCTCAGTGCTTTTATGAATTCTAATTAATTAAGCTTCCCAATACACCAGTGAAGCAGGAAACATCATCATCCCGATATACAGGCAGAAAAGTGAGGCAGAAAGAGGTTAAATAATTTCTTAGTAGTCATGTGCCAAGCCAGGGACACACTCTGGAAAAGAATCCCAGAGTTCTACTCCCAGGCTCACAGCTTAACAACTGGGAAACTCTCTAGTTCTCTGATTTACATCCTATTTAAAATGCCTACTGCTGCATTATAATTTATACAACTAGTATAACTATAACTAATGTATCTAATCTCCAGTTTAACTTCAGAAGAGTGAAGGATTTAAAGCAAATCAAGAGGGAAAAAATGAATGTCAAGTTTCAGCCTGAAGCACGTTATAATGCCAGAGTTATAAACCCCTGAACAAGAGGGTTTATAATGGAAAGGCTGATAAACTAACAATGATGGCAGCACTTAAATATATTTATGTCATGATCTAGCAACATATGGTATCTCTTCATCTCTAAATTAAAAAAGGGAGGGGAAAAAAAGGGGGGAAGGAGATAAAGCATTTATAGGAATAAAAGAAGAAAATGAACCTGAAGTTACCCAATTGTGACCTGTCCAGCTGATTAGGAATGGCAGTAAGAGGCTACAAAATAGCACCTCATTCAATAGGAGGTAGAAAAAAAAAATCGAAGTAAATAAAATAAATCTAAAATGATATGTATTAGCTACTTATATTAAGCTTCTAATCCTTTAGGCACTTTATAAATATTAAACAATCAGTCCTGGTGAGACTGATAAATATCCATAATATATTTTACAGATGAAGAAACAGACAGAGGGTTAAGTGACTTGCCCAAGGCCAAAAAGAGAATAATCAGCGGCTGGATTGGAAATAACAGTATGACTGCCTGTCACAATACAGTGCCCTACTCAGATGCTCAAGTGGCTCCTGAAAAAAGTCATTCCAACATCGGAAGCAGTCCGGCTAGGGTTAATGTGGTACCCATCTAAACTGCAAATGCTCACTTTCACTAGGCTTATTGTTTTGGTACAACACCCAGCTACCATAACTAAACAGACCCTGAAACTTGAACAATTCTTGTTCAAAACTCCCTCGGTTTTACTCTACGCAGTATCACGCCGGTCACATACCTTAGATGCTACCTCCAGACCCACTAATGCGTATTACTCTGCTATGTTTCTGTCAGGGAGATTCTATTAGGAAAACTGGAGCCTTCTCTGTGTCAGTGGGTCCCTCTCTGACTCCCCCCTTGAATCCAGCAGGGCTGCTGACTCCTTGCCAGCCCCGCTCCACCCTGCCTCCCTTGCCCTGCTGTCCCTTCCGCCTCCTCTCCTTCCCAAGCGGTCCCAGCTGGGCTAAGGGCCCGCCGAGCCTGCCCAGAGCCGCCTGCCCTCTGCCCTGCGCTCTGCAACGCTCCCAGCTGCAGGAGCACGCACCAAACTCCTGCACTGACCCAGCACAGAGCAGGCAGAGCCGCCTTTGTTTGGGCCCCGCACTCCGCCTCGCCTGCCGAGAGGCCACCTCGCCACGGGGGGACCTTCGCTGCGGAGTACAGTGGTGCTGTCAACAAATGGCTTGTGCTAATTAAGCTCCCCTTCGCTCAGGGCCAAGAGAATGCTCACGATTGCCATAGTTCCAAAACACATAAATTAACACGGCACGACGACCAGCGCGTTTACAAAACTCAATCCTCCGTCTTTTCACCAAGAAACCGAGAAGGGGAACAAACTGCGACATCAAAGAGTAAAGCAGAAGTTTAAGCTGATGTAACATACTCTTAGCCTCTTTTACAGATAGAAGTATTTTCTTTTATGCTTAGAAATGTAAGGCTCGCAAAGACAATAAAATGGTTTGGAGCACAGCTATTGGTGTAGATTATAATTCTAATTAAAAACATGTTATTGAACTGGTCTAATAAAGCCACTTCTGTTTTTCCAAGAGTGATCACGCCACTTCTGTGATAAATACTTGTCCTCACCTGGAGGATGATGCAATAAAACATCCTCTGTATTCTTTGTTACTACTGTGTTTACTAGCATCCTAGTGTGTTAGTCCATTCATTTTGGTTTTCACCTCTTTGTATAAAGGGGACAACGTGAGGCTTTCCTCATGCTGAGTTTCAAAAAAAAAAAAAAAAAAGCCAAAATGCATTACAACCTAGGCTGAGAGGACCCCCCTCTAGTGGGAATGAGAGTGTACTTCAATCAGCACCCACATCACCCAAGCAAAAAAGAAAATTTTGTGTCCTTCAGAATCAGGCAAGCACCATCTTCCTCTTAATCATCTTCAAAATGTATCACTTCCATTCCAATAAACAAAAAATGAACAAGAGATTCATCATTGCTTCAAGATAATCAGACATTAATTAAGAACTTCTCATTATATACTTATTTGTGGCAGTTAAACTTCTCCTATTTTAGCTGCCTGTTCTGACTGTACATATGTAAATATATTATCTTGGGCAAGGGATTGTTTTTCTTTTACAGTGAAAAATTCACTGCATCATTAAAAAAAGCAGACTTGGTTCTTAAACGAAGCACTGTTGATTTCGGCTACACGTGTCTCTCTCAGATACAGTAGCTTTCCGCCAGGCACTGAACCCCCCTCTCCGTCTCCACTTCAGTCCCCTTTCCGCCCCTCACGGTACAGTGTTAGAGTTGAATGGGCCTGTTTGCCCTGTATTCTATTCCTATGTAAAACCAACTTTTAGTCACTGTTCATTGGTGTTTTTTCCAGTTTATCTAAAGAATCAAACAGCCTTTCCAGTTCTCATAAACAAACCCAAACCACACGACAGTCTCCTGCAATTCTGGGCTAGAAGGCTATTGTAAGCGGTGAGGGGTGAATGATGGGGTAGTATTCTGGAAGAGTGTGTGCATTAATCATACACGGGGGATCAATTCTGTTAGACGCAATTCGCTGTTTAAGCAGGAGTATCCCACAGCTGGAGCACGCCGGTCCTGCCTGGGCAATTCACCCCTCCCAGAGCCCGCTCCCTGCCGCCGCCCCGCCGCCGGGGCACGCCGGGGACCAGGGGACTGGTCTGAGCGCAGTCCCCATGGCCGGCCGGGATGGTGCCCAGAAACCCCGCAGGTCCTCCCCAACGTGCGACAAGACAAGCTTCCCACCTCCCTGCACAACCTACGTGGTCTCTAAAACAGGCAGCCGTGGCCAAGACCACTAATTTCATAGTAGAATAGAGTAGCATTTAATAGTTTTTTATTTTACAAGATGGAAGAATTCATAAATGTGCTCACATCAGCCTGGAGAATCCTTGATGAATAACATGTGGAGTACTCGGAAACAAGTTGGGGAGTAGCCTTGAGAAGTAATGAGACTTACTCAGTATTTTTGTTTTGCCTTTCAATAAAGGACTCCTACAGCCCCAATTCTGCAAACAATATTGCACCCCAACCAAGAGACTTACAGTAAATCAGGCACAGAGTTATTTCTACCTCCCTGTCAAAAAGAAAAGGAGTTGAAACATAGATAAAAACCTTGAGGAGCAATGCTGAACAACACCTTTTTGGAACAGAGTTGTACAACCTAGTGGTCAGATGACACAAGGAATTATTATAATTTGGTCTTCTCCAAAGCCATACTCGGCCATGATTTGGTCCTCAGCCCAGTCCAGCTCCTTCTTGTCTCATCAAGGCTTTGTTTGAAATAGGATTAGCTGGAACTGAGCAAAAGCCACGGGAAGTGGAGTACTGTTAACAGGAGAAATTACATCTACGCTTAATACCCAGACTGTTATCCAAACGACAGAATATGAGGTAGCAAGTACGCAAGGACAAAATAACTAACTCACAAAAGACATGGGTCACAGAATCCCTCTCCATCTTTTTGGGGGGAATCTGAAAATAAGCACTAATAATCATTTCTGATGCATGCCGATTCCCATATAATATCCTGTTAACACTAATGCTGAAAAGGATCATCGATCCACATTTAACTACCCAGGCAAAAACTCCCAATACAACACACACTTAATGCTGCTCTCAGACTCGGGTCGGAGCTCCTCAGAGTTTATCTAATGGAGCTGCTATTTGCAGCTGGCAGGTGAGGGGGTTACAGCTACTCTGGTAAGAAACGCAGTAGACTGGAGCAGCTCTGATCAAGACAAAATATTCTGCATGGCCACTTACAGTTTCCATGGGT